CGGCAAATGGAGTGGTGTGGAGGCACTATAGTGACCCACCGACTGTACAGCGAAGCGAATGTGTGACAACGACTTTCTATTCCTTGTAGGCAGTGCTGTAAGAAAAGCACTTACAAATCATCCACGCCAGTTGTTGAACTCGCGTATAATTGAGTTTATGTTTAATCATTTCATCCAGTGTTCCGATCCGCACTGCAAACGCATTAAATGCAAAAAATGGGCAGAACGTCACAAGCATTAAGGAAGTTAGCCCATAAATCAGTTAGTAGTTTAAATTAATTTGGGAGCATAGGCCTTTACTTCCACTCGCCTGCCCGCCTTACTCCATGCCTATTGAAGAGGTGGAAGAGGTGGTCCCTCTCCATTCCATTGACATTTGCCAGTCCTGTAAAAGAAGCTGTTCCAGATGATTAACTCTCACGGCTAATGTTGCTTCACCACGTGATGGCGTATCCGCAGAACGAGGTGTCGAAGTGGTTTTTGAATGCGTCTGTCACCTCAAACCCCTTAGTTTGGAGGGTGAAGTTTGCCCTCTGCTACCCCTTCGATGTCGAATGAAGGCGTAATGCCAGAGTAGTACTTTTATGGTTGAGCTATACATTACCATCCCTACTCAAAGTCCGTGGAGCCCAGCTTATTCATAAAACAAAAGGATAAGCACTTTTGAAATCGAAACGAAGAAGTTGACATATATAATCACACCAACTAACTCATGCCACTGTGAACGCATCTGGGGAGAACCAACCCAGACGTCCTAAATTCCAACAAAATGCACCCTAAATCATCATTACTCGGAAGCAAAAATTGTGCAGCAAGAATTAGGAGGACATAGTGTTCACATTACTTGTTTTACAAATACCTTTTTTAAAACCCGGACTAAACTTTCCACCTTTTAGTTTTTAAGCATTAATCAAAGCAGTAAAGAATTGTGAATATTAATGTCACATCAAAAAAATGTATTATTCTTTTCAAATTTCCGAGAGTAGACGTGCCACTTTCTGTTTTTTTTTTTTTTGCGTCCCATTCGATTACCTCTGAGCACGTCAAGGCTAAATTTTAACTCACTTTAGCATTGTTCAAGTAAAATGTCACCTGAAAGGACTGCACTCCAAACGCTTCATCCAGCCCGCCGTTGTTAGTTCTTGTGTTGTTTTAGCCTTGCATTTTTTCACTAAAATCAACTATAATGTCTCGCTTCAAGGCATGGTGGTGATAGCTAACCGATCGGCCTTCAAAGCAAAGCATCATTCATTATTCATTGACGCGGTCGCAGACGCATTTTATCGGCAATCAAACGTGAGCTGGGGTACGATCTTCTCCGCTCACTGGTACACACGAGGTAGGGAGAGAGAGAGAGGGAGAGGATGAGCTCTCTTCCGAATCCGTGGTAGTTTTGCTGCCAAGCGAAACAAAAATGATTTCCCAAGTGGCCACTTCTTATGCGACAACAAATACACGTGTTGATCTCCTTCTATTTGCACTGGACGTCGGTTTATCAGCCCTACTTCAAGTGTCAGATGCTTGATGTTGCCTCTGACTCTATGCCAGACAAATTTTAAACCAAAATTAAGGAAACGCGCCTTTATTTTATTTTTGTCATTGGCCTGTGACATCGGACTGCTTCTCTTGGCACCTAAAAACGCACTCGTTAAGGAGGGTTTGTAGTCCATTCATATCCCATGGCAGTTGGAACGGGTTGACTTACGAGGATAAATATATGTTATTCATCACTTTAAGATTTGCAAAAGCCCATCAAATCCCTAAGGTACCATTTAAAGCGCATCAACCCCAGAAATGTTGCGTTGAAGTAGTTCTGATGGTGGTGATAGGAGCGAGTAAACATTTCGTTCGCAACCTTTCTACTCACTTCGAGGGCAAAAGGTGCACCAAAGTTGACAGACTTTATTTGTTCACCACCTTTTAGAGATAAATGCATCTTTGTCACTTTGGTCAGATGAAAGCCCTCGAGGAGAGTTGGGTGGGTACGAGGGAATGTCAATCTGGAGCAACTTAGAGCCCCAATTTCAGGCCAGTGACTTGCCAAATGAAGACAGGAAGCAATTCACTCAAAGCAGAGGGGATGCTGACACCCAGTTTAAACTTCATTGGAATGGCAAGCACAAGCCTCAAGGAGGAATGCTTAACAATGGAACTCAATTACGGGGCAAATTCAGTCCACTTCATTCAAACAATCCCACACGCGACTTAGTGGTGGGTCGGAGGGAAGAGATCAAAACGAGGACAAAATTCTCAAGGCCCCTCAAGCCAACTGCAATACGGCGCATGCGGAGCGACTTGCTAAATCTTACACCGAACAAGACAACAACGAAGAGGAATGTTAGGTTCCAGAAGAGCGTCTATGACATGCTCCTGATAGATGAGGTCGGAGAAGATGATTATGAAACACAAAAGGAGCGCGAGCTGAAAAGGCTAGAGGAGATTCAGGAGCAAAGGCGAATAAGAATGAAGCACGACAGTGAGAAATATGGCACGCATCGCGTAGGCGAATACTCATACTTGTTGCCCATTGAGTGGATGCTGGATAGAGGAGGTGTTCCCTGTGAGTTGTCATTCCCTTCAATCATTGCAAATGAACGATTTTATTAAGCTAATCTTCCTCTGTTTCAGATCCACTGGGATATTATCCCATCAATCTGTACGGTATGTAATTCGTTCATTTTCCCACAGATGCTTATCAACTTAACTCTTGATGATGAAAAGAGCCCATAAAAGACAAGCTCTGCCCTTCCTTTTATCATCCTTTGAAAGGTTATATCAAATCATTCTGCCTAACTGTTCGCAGATTTAATCACTGACAACCACCCATCGTTGAACCTCTCCCTTCTACCTCAACGTAAGTAAATTTAAGAAATGCTGGCATATTTTACCATTTAATGGGAGGCGTAATTCAGGTCTGCCATTCTCTTCATATAAGGTGATGGCCTACCTCGGAGAAAGGATCAGGTTCAACTGCGATATTTGCGTAAGTTCAGATCGACAATTAAACAAGGTGGTTTTTGTCCCCTCCTTAAATATTAAATAGTAGTAACTTAAAATAGTGCTATTTTGTCTTATAAATAAAACAGATATTTCTTAGTAAGCATTCTGGACGGTACAACAAAATGCAGTCATTGCCTCATGGAAATGTCTTTTGAGTGCATAAATAGCCCTTTTATCCAGCCAAAGTAGACTGCAGTTATCGGGGACAAACAAGGCGTGCTTAATATGGTTTAATTTTTTGGAAATAAAATATTTTCAACCCAGTGCCAGTTGGCTGTAACCAAAATTCACGAGCGTTCCTTTACCGCAGCAACTCTAGCTCTGCGTTTGCCACGTCGGCATTCATCATTTCGCAGCGAAAACCAAAAAAGGTAAAAGGAGAAAGGCAAAGGCGTTTGGTCCCTGCTTTTGTGGTCCATAGGTCTATTCACTATCCAGATAAAATGGTGCTTAATTTTTGTTTTGTTTGTGGATTTGATGATAGGCTTGGTTGTTTACCTCCTGTTCATTACCTGTACGATCTTGTGCCTCAGCGGCCAACCTACGCGCTGCACTGATTCCTCTGGCCTTTACGTCAATGGATGTTTTGGGTCTCATACTTCTGATGGTTGGTTGGTTTCTCCTCCTCCTTTGTACAGCAGCCCTAATCGGCTATCAAGTTGAGGCGAATGCAGCTACAAAGTGCTTCTTTCGCATCAGTAAAAATTTAATTTACCAGTGGGAGGCAAGAAGGGATCCTGGTCTCCCTGATCGGCTAAAGAAGCAGGCAGAAGACGCCGGTATTACAGTGCGTAAGAAATGTCAGGAAATTGCATTCTTATTCTTACCTTACTTAGCAAGTAGTCTTGGCTGACTGTGAATTCCTAAGCATAATTAAGGAAGGCGGAAGGCCGAGTCCTTCATGCATGCATTTGAATTTGGTCTACTTGTTGCAGCCAAACACTTGGCCCTACCTTGTCCTCTGCAAAAAGGATATTGGAGATGATAGGTTCAATCGAATTGCCCTCTGTATCCAACATTACTACAGCTTCAGTGACCTGATTAAGCGATGGGAGGCCCTAAAGAACTCCAAAGTATGTCATGGTACCACCAACCTTGCCAATTGCTCCTAACGCATTTCAAATCTCCCTGCCATTGTAGAACATGGAAATTGTCAACGCTGCTATAGCCTTGATGGATGCCTTTCTTGATGGGGAATACAACTATACATGTGCGTGCCTCTAGTTGTTTTTGCTGAAGTGTGCATTGGATCCGTAATATATGTTCTGATCTCTCTGCTATACCCCTACAGTTTGGTTATTTGGTCTAAAATGTTGAATCAACCTGTTCGCAACGAAACACCGTAGAACAAACTAATCTACACAAAGATCATTCAAGGCTTGAGGTTCCCAGTTCCCCGAAATTGTTATGATGATCGAGGATAACTTTATAAATGCCTATCTTCTGCCATCTCTGGGTGGGCATTATTTATTTCTCTTAACAAAAACTCTGTGGGCCGGTCACATGGAAGGCATAGAAGGCTGTGAAAATAGGGTAGAACCGGTTTTTCTACTTAAATATTTATTTACGGTCTTGATCATTTTATAGACTCGAAAGGAATTAGAGGTCATGCTCAAACCTCAACTTTGCATTGAAAATGCGACTGGGAATAAGCTTGTAAGTGTCCTTTTTTTGAATAACTACACTAAATTTTGTATGCATGGCATCACTTGGTGTAATCAAAAACTTCAACATATTCCTGCCATCTTGTAACATTTGTCTATCCTCAAGGGAATTCGAGAAAATTTCCGACGTTGGTAGCACTCTCGTGTGACGAATTTTTTTCTAATTAAATGTGAAGTTTGTCGCCTTTAGCCTACCTTTGAATGAAAGTTAATTCGCAGATAAACTAGTGTGTGTATTCTCTCAAAAACACCGTGGCAACGCTACTACAAGGATAAACAAGATTCAAACCATAAATTTTAAGCTATTCAAAAGCTAGTTAATGAGGCTCTTTTTGTTTGACACAATAAATGGAAGGTCGCATAAAAGTTTATTGAATCTTTCAATCGACTTTGGTGGCTAAATCGTCTACAGCGTGTGAAAGCTGGAAAAAGTAGAGCATACAATAAAGGTCAATTCATACGCCAAGATCTGATGCCTTTTAATGAAGGATTTTTTGGTCCACATATGATAAATATTCCCTTATCATGTTTTAGAGATCCTGGTTCTCCATCATTACAACCGCCAGAAATGTATTCCCTCATGAAATCTCCGTGTTAGGTACCTTTTGGTAGAGTAGATTGGGCCTTATTAACAAATTTAAGGCCCACTTCCCAAATGCTCTCATAATTCTCACTGCTATCACTTATAATGGTTGTTGTGCTGGCATGATGTTTCGCCTAAATTAGTGCTCAACTCAGCCTTCTGCCCCTTGTGGCTTACACTTAAATGTGTGACAACCTAACTTTTTTTGCCAAACCCATTGTTTTAAGTTATACATTGGATTCGCTGAGAGGCTGACTCTGATTTAACCAGATGTGAATCTCGGTAAGCATTAGTCCTCCTTTCAAACTGCCTGTCAAAGATTTGCTGTAAATCCATCCTTTCATTGTAACAAAGTACTGCCAAAATAAAAATATAGTCTACTTCTTTTATCGGTTGTGGTAGCAAAACCAGATAAAAGTCGAAAAATTCAGCATCGGTTTTAAACTTGTCAACCTCGATTACGGTCTTTAAAGAGGTTCGATTGTGCTTTCATCAGACCGTCTACTTCCTTGCCCATAAAAAATCGCCTTAGAAAGACAAGGGAACTGCTGACATCCATCTTGATAGCGGAGTGTTTGCCACTGTGGTTAGCGATCTCTCTCAGTTGTTGAGATTAGTAGTTAAGTGCTGACAGAGGACTGTCCCATGAAATGGGTAAATAACTAGGGGATGAAGTGTACCAGACGGAGACTAGGATGGTTTGAAGTTCCTGTGTATTTTCAGTTGCGGGCATTACAATGACAGGCATTAGTTAGTCCACCTAATGCATTCATTTAAAGGTGATTAGTGTAAAGGCACACCTCATCAGCGACATTCAGTCCTGTAGTTAGTTCGAATTGAGTAGCTTTCATAATTTCTGCAGGAAAGGCATTTTAACAAGCAACAAAAAATAGCAGTCATTAATGACCAAAACACCGACAATATGACTTTGAGATGCGCATTGCTAACAGCTTCTTGATTGTGTAATTTTACGCGTTATCCAAGTACCTCTTCTCGACGTCTCCTTCCCCAATGAAGGTGTTTACTTTTAAAGCTCAAGGGTAAAACGAGAGAAATTTAACCTTCCGACTTGGAAGAATCAACTGCTGCATAAAAGGTTACCTCGATCTGTTATTAAGCGTGGATCATTTTAGGTTAGATTTTTAACGTTTGACATAAAAAAGCACTATAAAAACAGCATTGAGTCGCTTGCCAGGCTCCCAAGGTCCGTAAAATTGTTAATCTCAATTAAGTCTTGTTACAACCAGTGTTACGCCACAATTCGTAGTTTCAATTACTTCTTTGCACGGGTTTTGGCCTGTACATTCAACAAAATCAACCCAAAATGCAAGGGCCTAATGGAAGACACAAAAACTACTTATTTTCAGCATGGTAAAACAGTCACATTTACTTACAAAACTACACATTCTCTTTACAAGGTGGGAGATACCTTAATGCTTCAGCGCCCTGCCATCACGTTTGCTCAGTACTTCAGAGATCTAAGATCACTTGTGGTCGAGTTTATCCGACT